CACGCAAATCGCACGCGAGTACATCGACACGCGTTCGGTACATCACTACATACAACATCTAATTCCTAATTGTGAATTAGAATTATTTCACATCTCTAATTTTGTTCGAACGTCAATATATTAGTGTTGTGCTGACTCTTGTGTTTACACCAAAACCATTTATTTTATGTGTCAATCCGATTAGTGTATTAGTATAAACGCGATAGTTTTTGTTTTAATTAGAAAATTTTAATTAATTATTGTGATTACGGACAATGATAAATAATATTAATACGAATGCTGAATTTTGATACGAGTTACAAAATGAAGATGTCTGGTGAGTTTAAATTAATGATACAAAATAATATGATTAAGTAATTACCCATTAAGATAATACATTGGTGCAATGTTCGTATCTGGAAGATAATCTGTTCTACCTAATATTTTGTTTTAGATTTTTATCAATTTGAGAAAGTTATGAAGTATTGTGCGAATTTAATAATATAAAATAAAATGTATCCTACGTGAGATAAATGTGAAAACTAATGCATTAATAAGAAAAGCAACTAAAATCTAACACTAAACTTAAAAACTATAGATAAAACTCTTTTTTTATAACGCATTACCTTTTATTATATACTGGGTATATAATATTAGGTATATATACTGTGAAAGCTTCATTCGTCGTCACTTCGTTCTATCTAATACTAACAACTTACTCTTGTATAAAACCATATACATACTTACATTGTGAAAAAATTAAGTAAATACAGCAAACATTTCCATCATTTGATTTTTTCTGACATCTCATTTCCATTGTTTTTCTCAATTTCAAATAATTTATAACTTTCAAGAATTTAACAAAACTAATATTTAAATCATAAATTGTTAAACTTCGCGCAAAAAACATCTAATCACCGTGAAATCAGATAAGGAGATCAAGCCCAAGGAGTCCAAAAGCTCTTCAAATTATTTCGCTTGTTAACCACAAATAAACATCACTAACCGTCTCTTTTTTATCTCGCTCTTAAGCATTATCTGTGGTTCTGTCAAGGGTGTGCGAAAATACACAAAAAAGGTTCTCTATGATAATTTTTTAATGTCAGCTTCGCGTTCGATGGCTGTGAACGTTTGACGGACGCCGCCGGCACCAAAAGATTGTTTGTTTCTTGCACAACACACCTTGCATTGTTAATAACATTGTTTACATCACACCAATGCGAAAAAGAATCGAAATACTGACTTGTTTGATTTGCTTAAAGCCATCGGCTTATATATCCTTTGTTCGAAGTCACCTATCGATTATGTTCAGGGAAATTTTGATCGTCTTTCTACCTATACAATAAAACGCAACATCACACTAGTGTAAACACAGCTAATAGGTAAATTATAATAGTCAATTAACATTATAATTAACCACATTAGTTTGTAACCGCAAATTACCTAGAGTTATAATTAGAACTTACCCGATCTCCATTGAACTAGACTCGTACCTATTTCCATGCGTGCGATGAATATTTAGACATTAGGAAACATTCTAATGTCCCGATGAATGATTGCAATAGCATAAAACACAATAGGAGTACGCACCCACTTTGAGACATCAACATCCTTTCATATTATAATCTCGGAGTTGAAAGCATCTTTCAGTTAATTTCTTATGTGAAAATTACCATAAGCAACTATGGTTACAACTGGCTCATTAAAGCGTACCGCACCTAGGTAATGTTAGAAAGTACAGGTTTCCGCGAACGTCTAGCCATTCAGGCCCGCGCGCCAAGTGAATTTCTGAACGGTGCCGCCGAATCTCAGATGAGCAAACTCAACACCAGCCCAGCAAGCATCACATTCAACCGCTTAAAATAATTTGCAAACAACTTTAAACCTTAACACGGACGATAAAGAAATAATTTTACTTATTAGTTTATCGTTCGTCTTTTGTCGCGTTAAGAGTGTTTTATGAGTCAACACAAGCCAGACCGTGAACTGTCGTGACAGAGTGCAACGTAAACCGCGCTTATTGTCAGTGTCCGTGGCTAACACGTGAAATTGGCATGCCGTGGGGTCCATCGGACTAAAAATCGCATGAGATACACTTGTAGTCTTATCTCTACATAAGTTTTAAAATGGAAATAACATAAAGCTGTAAAGTAAAAGTAGCAAAGAAGATTTTAACAGTTATACCAGCGATTACTATAAAACAATCACTTCCCTTCGACATAAAACGATTTCCACCAATCAGTTTATGTGGCAAGCTAACGGAACATCAAGTTAAAGTGTTGGACACATTCAGAAAGCTCTCTCGAGGCAAATGTTGTAGTGACAGCTAACCGCTCCACCGTGTTCTATGTCTGTGCTTGGTCTTATTTTAAATCTGTCGCGAGTTTCTACGGAAACCGGAGATTTAACGACGGCTCGTCCGTATTGTCCGCGCACGAAGCGTTCGCGGTCAAATGCGACAAATGGACCTTGCGGCGGCTAATTTGAATTTGAAATTTGAGCATCAGTTTTATGGCAGCCCATTCCTCAAGTTGGTACGTCTTGGCTTTGTATCGGTATTATTTGTATAAGATGTTTGGAAGAAAGTTGGTTTGTTCCAAGCTTTATACTCATCCAGTTCATTGTATACTGTCTTGTGGTGAGAATATTTTAAAGCAGATAAGTAAAGGCAAAACATTTTAGCGACATAACTAAACACAATAATGGTAAAAATGATAATCTTAAATTCAATTGTTTTTCCATCAGCAGTATTATAAATAAAACTAAACATACTATAATAAGACTTGTACAACAAAAACAAAAAATTAAATAAGAATGTCAACAACCGACAGTATTTAGATAAAATTTGACGTTAATTTTCGGCAAAGCGTTTTTTATGGGCGGTCGTTAGTCAGTACTAGAAAACGTGAGAGTTATATGTATGTGCGTGCGCAGACAGCGCGTCTACGCTGCTCCCGCGCCGTCGCGCGACGCGACTATGAATCACTGACATTGTCATTCATCATTTCGTTACTGTCATTATCTGTTCAGTACGGTTTTATCAAATTTTGTTTTATCGTAGGGTTATGTTTTTTAGTGAATGAATTGACCCCAATAGATATTAAAGATTTAATTGAAGTTTAAACATACTTATGAACATAATTACGTTTCTTTATCATACCTATCTCTGAAAGTGGGACAAGTTGTAACAGAATAACCCTTTTAACATAGCGGTCGGACATAAAATGACAATCCATTCGATTTTCAAAAATTACCGTTACAAAATCGGGTGTCATTCTTAATTTTAATCTTTACGTCCTATCACAATTTTCTAGTCCAATTAACTATTTATTTTATACAATTAAACAAACAATAAAACAATTTAAATCAAGACAGGTGAACGAGCATAGCAACAGGGTTGAACCCACAAAAGATTCACAAACCATGAACATCCTGTCTTTTAATAGTTTTAATCCTTTATCATGTAAAGCAAGTTATCTTTTTCTTTCTTTATCTTTTTTATATTGCCACGTGCTTTAAAGGACAAGATAGGGGTTGTTTTAACAAGTATATTAGAGGTATGGGGCATGTATGATTAATGTGGTGTCTCGAACAGTGTTGGGGTCGCGTGCACTATGAATTTAGTCATCTTCAGTAAACACAGGGTGTTTTCTTTATAGCTGTTATTGATGATGATGATCTATTTGATGCAGTTATTGGTTGTAGTGTGTAATTTGTTTGTGTGTGTGTGTTTTTTGATAGGGATGTGAAAGTTGTGGCGTGGTTAAAAATGATTTTTCTTTTGTGTAGTCTTTAGTTTTAGTTTCAACGTTAAACGATTTCGGTAAACGGTAGTTAATTTTTCAATATTTTGAAGATTTTTATTCAGGTTATAGTGACCGTCGGGTTTTCACCTATGATTGATAACTGAATACCTACTAGGTATTTCTATGATTTTTACAAAATAAGTTTAACAATGTTATCACCGTTTTCAGCAAATATATGTATTTATGTAGGTCAAGTTAGGAATTGAATATTATTATTCGATGTAGATAATATCATATGAAATACTATTTTTCCTATTATATTATCATCTAAGTATTGCGCAACACGAACTTCATTAAATAATAGGTATTACCTGTAAGTAAAGGAAAACGAATGACTATTACGGGTTTTTTCATTAATTTTATCTACATTATTGACATCATGCTAGCTAGCCATATTGGTTGTTAAAACAAAATTTCCAAATAAATTACCAAAGAGGTTTATAAAATGAGTTTCAATTAAAAAATAAAGGGCAAAAATGTCTGTCTGTGAATTTGCATTTAGCGGAGATGAACCAAAGACAGGAGACAAGCGGAAGTTCTTTATGAACAGCGGAAACAGACATAAAGCGATCAACATCTTGCACGTCTTCACTTTTTTATAATTCGCTCGATGCTCAACTATAGAATAAAACAGCTAGTGAGTTTATTGCTCTCAGACATGCAGCCTTGTTTAAATTGGAACACATTTGAATTAAGAATTGAATCTTAAAAAAGAAGATATTCCGTGGTTCGATTTTCAAAAATGTACCGTTACTTTTAAACGCCAAATTACTAATTTCTCTATTTTTAATGAAAGCGACTTGTAGAAAATAATTTCAAAGAAGTTTTAGTTAATTTCTTGCAACCTTCATGTTGACAATAGCTGATACTAAAGCTATAAATTAAAAGGACTGATATAGTCTAGAGCAGATTAGAAAACTGTTAGTATCAAACACAATGAAAATCGATATTAATTATTAATAAACGTGTCGTCTTTCAAAACTGTAATCAATTTAATAATGAGAACTTAGGAGTACGTAACGCTGCATTTCAAAGATAACAATTGATGTTGTAATAACTAGGTTTTTATTTAGATGAATATAAAATCGATTGCGTTGCTAGGTAGTAAAATCTAAGTGGAAGATAAGGTGAAATGACTATCACTTACTATTAAGTCTTCGGTAATCTTACTGTGGTTAATTTTAACCAGTCTAATTTCAACAATTTTGTCCACAGCAGCAGACAGCCAAGAGTCTGGCAGTCCACCGCCAAGCCCGACTGACTCTGCAACATCAGAATCAGCGCCCACCTTAGTTCACATAAAACAAGAAAACATGCCTCCAGGAACTGATGTCAAAGAATACTACGGAACCCTAGATTTTGGGCTCTCCGACACATATCTAGCCAATAACTTCCCCGAGTATGGACGGGGATACCTGCCTAGACCCCTAGATCTACCGAACCAAAGGTTCTTAGATCCTAAAAGTCCGAAAGAAAAAGAAGATGGAACGAAAGATGATGACCCCGGAGAACGAGATTTAAATTTACCAAGTGAACTGATATTTAAGAGCGGAGGGATCTTTGCAAGAGTGAATATCGCCAATGGAACTCAATACGGTCCTTTCTTTGGACTGTTGGAGAATCAACCGAAGGACAGGCGATATGCTTGGGAGGTAAGTACAACTAACTTTAAATCTTAAGAATGAATAATTCGTCACAGTCTATATACGTAGTTAGTAGCTAATGAAAAAACTCAAAACAAACATCAACCCAGACGCCATTAGTCATCCAGCCATAACTATTCCACAAATGGTCCACCTGTGCTCTCGTATGCACAAATGTCACTCAGGACGTTATCATAAAACCAGTGATGACAAAGCACTCATTCTTCCTCGTTTAAGTTAATTTACAATGGACCACTTGTGTTTGGGTCATGTGCAAGTGTCAAAAATATTGGTCCGTACATAAATAATGTTCAGAAATTGAGACTCTGTCAAGCACGGATGCAATAAAGTGTCGACTTTATTGATCTTCCTCGAGTTCTTGTCGTATCCTTTTGAGTGCACTTCATTAATGCTCTACACACTTCATTATTTTTAATTTGTTTTAGTTTTTGACAGACGAACAAATATTTTAATCATCCTTGGAATAGGGTTGCGTTGTTTTTGTCACTTCGGGACTTTTTCTCTCGTGTTGGTAGATACGTTTTAAATCTAAAGTAGATAAGTAAGACGGATATTTCATTTTAAAGGTGGTATTGCTAAATTATTTCGTGGATGCTCATTTTATCTTTAAAATATCACATACGTACCATGAATGATCATTGTTCAATTGAACGCATCAGAGATTTTTGCGAGGGGTGTGGCGGTTCAAGTTTATCTCTGGTAGGAAACGGAAATCAATTGTTGGATCCGATTCCTGGATTACGCGCAAAGTAAAAGTATTGAGTTACTTTGCAATAGGTAGTCAAAAACTTTGGCAAATTATTATAAGCAAATTATTCCTTTCTGGAGAATGAAGATATTGATAGTGGTGATCGCATTGTAGGAAATTATAAACAAATTAATATTTTAATAAAATATACTTTATATTAGCGTCCAATTTTGTTAACATCTCTATTAAAGATGGTTGTAACGATGATTAGTTAATTTGATAGTGGAAACGTAGAAACAATAAATTATAGACACCGCTGGTAATTTACTTAGTAATAATATTAGCAGTATTATTAATCAAACAATAATGTCATAGCAAAAATGTCTTAAAGACCTGTCCTCAGCATAAAAGGCCGGACGCGAATGGGACATAATAGCGCTGCGATGCGCGTACGCCTATCGAATGTCTGCGCGAGACAGATAACGCGCATGCGCGACTGTGGGTGTAAGGTTGCACTCAGACCGCAGTATTGTTGTGTCGTCCGACGGACATGTAGTTCCGGTAGTTAGTACCATTTAAACAACATTATTGTGATAGATACCATACAATGAAATTTAAGTGTCTTCTTTGTCTGGCCAATCGAGTTGCAGGACACTCGATTATGATATCTGATTCGCGGTATCGATTACATTGAAATGAATTGTTTCATATTGCTTTTTTATTATTTAATGGAATTTCTGACTGTTATTTAATTGTTAGCTGTAAATATTAAAGGAAACGCATTATTTTAACTTAAGTAGATTGAGGGAACTATTTGGAATAGTCATTATTGTACGCTCTGTTTGGTTTTAAATTTTAATTCTAGGCAGATAGTAGTATACAACTTTAGAAACTGTCATTTTATCTAGGTACAGGTGAGTAATTTGTTTTTCATTTCATTTCACAATACTATTCAAAATTGTTTTTTGGATGAAGGATGGTATCTTTACTTGCAGTAACTTTATTTCATATGACAAAGCACCTATTTTCAGTCCCTTACAACTAACATTATTATATTCTTCTACAATTTGATTTCTTTGCTTCAGTAACCGCAAAACGCTTGATCTTTTCGTACGTGACGTCAGTTAAAAGTGCCAATTGTCGCGTCATTAGAGTTGGGAGCTGTAGCAAACGCTGACCATGTTTCCGAATCGGTTGCCACAAAAGATCCCTTTGACAATTGAACTGGATTTGGTGGAATATAATAGGCGTGTGATTGTCTTTGCACTTTATGGTAGATTTAGTCATCGGTGAGATGTGAAGAGATGGATAGCAGTGTGGGTCAGATTAAAGATGTGACGCAATGAATTATGAGAACATAAAAATTATCTACTAAACATTTTTTGTCAATCCCCGATACGTTAGCAAACATACTGCCTTAGAAGTAATTGACAGAAGCATATTAATAAATTATTTGAATTATTTCAGTGTCTAAAACCTATATTATTCCGTTTGGTACACGGTTACAGAATTATTTTAAAACACCGTTACTCGGAGATAAATCGACCCGCATTTATTTTTACTTTAAAACGATTGAAATCAAGATTTCACATGTCTACGTAAACTTAAAGGGGTTAAATTCATTGTTAAATCAGTGATGGTTATATTATCTAACCACCGATTCCCAAACGTCGATATCTAAATAAAAATCTTTGTAAAAAACATCGGGGTAATCGTGGAATTCTTTATTGAACATCTCGTGTCAAAGGTGGCAAATATACCCTAATTTCGGTTATGGCGTGACCCCCGTCAACAATTTTTTTACCCAAATTCACACTTTTTTAACCAAAATCCCCGTTAACGGTAGATTTTTATTAAACTTATTCAAACTTTAAAATGAAAACTTGATTGGTGAGTTTTTTTTAAATTCTTTCTTCAATAAAAATGTCACCAAATCTCTTGAAACGTATCTCCTCTTTGATGCGCTAATAAAACCTTCTTTATGCGAATGCCACTCGAAGTAGATTTTAAATATTTTTCTCACAGATCTTAAAAAAGTTGTCTGCGCAAATAAATTTCTTGTTTTGAAGAGGTTGTATCAATTATTATTTATTTTATGCCAGTAACTATCTTAACCCTCATTGACCCACATGCAAATTATGATAGTTGATTTAGTAAATTTTAGTTCAATAATAATTCCATGGATGAATTTAGATGAGACAGAAACTTGTTTGTGACAAAAGAATCTTCTGATACCAAATGTCAATCAAATTATAAATATTATAGATTTATTCATTAATTTTGATATACAAGAGGGGACAATCGACAAATATGTATGATGTGAAATTGGCATCCACTAATTATTATTGTAAAATGAATATTTGATTCACGAGTACATTAAAAATTTGTATCGATAATATTCGGTTTGAGTTTAACAATGGTCGGTCATGAATGATTTATTGCATTCTGTTGGTTTTCGACGGGAAGCGTTGGTGCTCGAATAATATGGTAATAATGTTTATTTAATGTGAACATCTATGGTTTTTTGGTAACACACAATTTCGATATTCATTTCCTAGGATAATAAATGCGGTAAACAATTACCACGTTTGCACTACAAATAAATTAAATTGACACAAACATTGGAATGGAGCACAATGAACCATATTTTTTTAATTGAAAAATATTTCAGTTATTTAATTTATAATCCTCTGCAACTATGAATTAAAAAGTGTTAGTTTTAAGCCTGCACATCAGTAGCGTCAAAACCGTTGCATTAATGTCAAAATATCTGTCATATTCGTGTGACATCCTTTCATTTCTGCCCACCCCCTTCAGCAAAGGATTAGTGATACACGCGGCCCTATTACATCTTCATTACGGTAGGCGGCTGTCATACCCCACATATTGTGATTGTAACAATAAAAAAATGTTATTGTTATTATGTTTATTGGCCCTATGGATGATATTTATACGTTTGGATGATTCGGCTTTTAATCATACAGATGCCATGTAACGTTACTGTTGAATAAATATTGTTTGTATCTTATATTGGCAATTGAAATTCCACAGTAAATTTTACGCTAATTAGTAATAATTTTAGTTTACCTAAGCATACATGTTATACTTTTTTTTTCTAGACAAATATTATATTTTATTTGACAAATTTTAATTCAGTAAAGCAGAATTATCTGTATCTTTGTAATGCATAGTATTATGTCACAATGGCGGATCAATGCCTCATCTATGACAGACAGAAGCTGTCAAATTGACACCTGGGCCATCTGACACCGGCCTATCGTCTATCGATTGGGATCGAATTGATATTTCAACAATATTATTAGAAAAAAAACACGATTTACATTCAAAACTTTAACTATCAAGTTGTTAGATAGTTTTACTAGTAAATACTATTGAAAATTAATCACTACCTTAAATTCAATTTTTTAATAATTGATTAAAAAATAAAAATTATTCATTGCTTTTCTTTCCCCTACGTTCTCTGTTTAATTGGCAGAGTTCACCGATCACTTGAATAAAAAAATAACATCTTCATAAATATTGACAACATCTTGGTAGGGGTGTGCCCCCAGGTTCTATCTAAACATTACTCTTATTATTAACAAGTAGACACTTATCAGTTAATCTTACACTGTTTCACAATAGCCACTAATCCCGGCGTGATAGAAATTTATCTTTGCTCCACCGTCATTGTCATGTTGGGCCATTCTCCCCTCTGTCTCTGATACGAAGGTGCGGTCTTTTAGTTTGTGAACTTTCGTGCTTTTTTCGTAATTATTGCCTATTTTTGTAGATTTTTACAATATATATATTTACTAAATTTGGTTTTCTATAATTTATGTTTTGATTAATTGAATTAATAGAGTCGTTGGTAGGTATCTATGATAGAGTGAATAATATGGAAATTCATAATAGAGAAGTCCTTACAATAAAAATCATAAAATAGTTGTATGTATTGTGCTTTGTTGTTTTCGTAAAAATGTGCATAGGAAACCTTCCGTCGGGCATTATATTTCTCCAGTTCGCGATTTGTTCTGCAGCTTACGGCTAAATAAACAGAGAATTGCCGTCGACAGAATAGCTTTTTCCATTTCGCTTCAAACTTTTTCCATACACCTATATATTGTATAGGTAATCTCATTGCAAAGTTTACTCACGAGTCCTCTTTGCGGCTTCTTATTTGCTCCAATATTTTTCCCAACAAATTCGTGTTCGCAAAACAGTGCGGGCGTGCACAGTGGGGCAATATTTCATCTGAGCTGGCCAGAACAATAATAGCCTGTGGAGTCGAAGCCACGGC